GCAGCCGGGAGCTCCCGGCAGGGGGCGCGGGGAGCCGGGATCCACCTCCGCTCGCAGCTGGGATCCTTAGTCACCTCCTTGCCGGATTCGTCATCCCGAGGGCAGAACGGGAACGATGGAGGAGAGCGGCCCGCGCGCGCCGCTCTCCTCGTCCTCGGTGAACAAGCAGCCCTTGTGTCCGCTCCAGCGGGGCCAGATGACACTCCTCACCTCTCCTAACGGCTCACCAAAAATGCCCAATAACATTTTTTTAATGAGCTCAATAGCCTTTGTTATTTGGGAAAGCTTAAGTAGGAGCCAGATGGAATTTTTTTAAAGCAGTCTCAGCTTTCTAAATGAAGGAGAGCTGAAATAGCCGGAGAAGGCACCACGTCAACAATATTGTTGTGCTCAAAACAGCAGAGGTTTCTCTCTTGGCAGCTGTTGCAGCCAGCAGTAGCTGCCTGGTAGTCATCTCTAGCCCTGACAACTCGCCCTGAAATCACTCATTTGAAGCCTGTTTTGCTTCAAATAGTTCCTTGCTCAGTCAGCTGAACTAGAAGAAAAAAATCCGGGGGCTTTTGGTAGATATAAATGCTGGAAATCATCTGGTAGCTGGTCCCCGGGGATCCCGCAATGTCAGTTCAGAAATAAACTACGGGATGTGCTTAATTTAGTTGTCCCATCTTCATTCTTTGTGGCTGCAGAAACAGGAAGTCGCTGGTGCCCTCCCCGAGCTGCCGCCTGCACCGTGTTGAGACCCACAGAAACACGAGTGTTCATTTACTGTAAAATCCCCGAACACAAAGTCACGGTGATGAACTGTGTCGTGCTGACAGCCCCTTCTGTTTATGCAGTTTTGTTGGGACATGGGCTAAACAGGAAGCTCCTTTGGCTGCCTTGTTATATGTGCTTGGCTTTGGATTAATAAGTATTTTTAGGAATTCTTTTCCTTTATTGCTGTGGCCTCTACAAAAGGCAAGCGAGTTTTACGTGTCAGCCTGTTTTATGGAGCTGCGTTGTGACCATGTTCCCGAGGCTTGACAGGAATAAAGGTTTGCTAATAGATTAACAGGGTGTGCAGTGCAAATGAATAGGCTTTCTTGCCTACAGGGAAACGTGCAGACATTGGCTGCGAGTTCGTAACTTCTGCTCCATTAGTAATCAAAATTCAATTGAATTTAAACAAGGCCTAGATTAAAATCCCACATTACAGTCCCAAAAGGGAGGGCTTCATCTAAACCCCAGTCTGTTATATGGGGAACTCTCCCCTCTGCTGCAAGACACAGCCTGAAGCCCCATTTCTGCTTATCCTGAGAGCAAAACGATGGACAAAAACGACCCTTGGGTGACCCATACGTCTCCTCTGCCCGTTGCAAGAAGGCTAATAGAATTGCACTGTGTGCACTTTACCGAGATCTCTGAGCATAGTTACTAGCAAATTCTAAGTGTTCAGTGGACAAAGCACCGTTCAGAGGAAGCTCAAGCAGGTCTGTCTTGTGGTTTGTTTGTCTTTCCCTTTTTTTGGTCTCTTTGTGTTAGTCTTTCTGCACTGCAGACTCTTGCTGTTGATGCTGGGTCTATTCTTGGCTGTATAACTAAGTCTTTATATTTCATGCAGACTGGGCTTGTGCATAGCGGAAGGAGCTGCATTTACAGACCAGAGAGCCAGGAGGGACTGGGGTGTAGCTGCCTGTGTTGCCTGTAATTAACTCTAATTTTGCTGCCATTTCACTTTTTGTGCAAGTCCATCAAACAGAAATTAAAATGATTTCACCATCTGCCAGACAGTACTAGATTTCCAAAGAAAACTCAGCAAAGGCCCAAGAATGATCTGTCAAGTGGCAAGGAGAATGAATTGCAAGGAGCAGTTTCCTTTTAAAGGACACTGATCCCAACAGTGGTCCTTGCAGCAGGCCCACAGCAGCGTGTTTTATTCCTCGGGGTAGGAAGCCGCTTTCCAGCTGGACTTTCTGGTCTGTAATCCTGATCTGCAGCACAGCTCGCGACTCGGTAATGGGGCTGAGCAGATTAGAGCCTCGTGTGGAATGTGCTGGGGATCAGCGGTGCAGAACGGCCGCTTTGTCCGCGCGGCGCTCCGTGGAGCCGCTGTCCTTCCGAAGGCGCCGCTCAGGGCTGCGTCTTTGGCAGGTGCTTCCCTAAAAGCGGCTGCCGTCCCCTGCACACGTGAGCCCCACGCTGGATACGTCGCCCTTGGGCGCAGCAAAGCCCTGGGCCCGCGGTCGGGAATTCTACATTGTGCAGCGTGAAAAAAGCAGCATTCATTCCTGTTGGTTGTATGGGTGACCGCCCACAACTCCAGCCTCTCTAAACTTTCTGCATCTGGAACCCATCCAGTAACTGCTGTCCAGTTCTGTGCAAAATATATCCTCTGGTTTGCTGCTGCGCAGGGGAGGAAACCGCTGCCTTCCTTTTGGGAGGGGGGCAGCCTTCCCTGCCCGTCCCGCAGCGTTGCTCCTCCTGATGCAAAGAGGAGAAAGAAGGGGAAAATGACACCATTCGTCTCAGGCGTTTGACTAGTGCTAGATCTGCCCCACATCTTCTAGAGACTGGACAACAATGTGGAATTTAAGGCTGAGAAGGCTTGCAGGCAAAAGCAGAAGAGTAGTTAGAATTTGGCATTTAGTTTCTGAGGGGAGATGTAGTCTCGGTTCATGTTCACAGCTGGATAAGTCCTTTGGATGTGCCGGGGAATGTGCTGGGAAGAGCCCTCGCCCTCAGGCAAAGGTTTTGAGCTTTTGCAGACTCTTGCAGTAAGAGGGAAGTTGGGTTCCGGCCGTAATCGTGACT